ACCATATAGAGCCCTGATCAAGCCTACCCTGAAGCCTACCTTACCTCTGGACTTTACTAAAAATGTGAAGAAAGTCTCCTATTGTTTAAACTAACTTGCTTTTTTTATTCCCCACCATCCAAAGCATCCCTTTTAAACAAATCGCCAAGTTGGCCAGGGATATAGCTCAGTGGCATAAGCACCTGCCTGGCAAGCGCAAGGTCCTGAGTTCAATTCCCGGTACAAAAACAAAAGCAAAAACAAATCACCAAGTTAGCGTCTTCTGACAACACTCGCAGAAAAAATATCCCAGGGAAGACCCATAAGTAGCTGAGCCCAAGACACACTGTGACCCCTGGAGTGAGGCAGAGACAGGCAGGCAAAGTCAGGATATCTTTCAGGCATTTAGTCTGGCTAACGATAACCATGAAGTGCAAGGGGCCATTGGACACTGTATCACAGTAAAAGACACATTGCCATGGATCCCCTTCAAATCCCTTTACCTTGCTTAGAATGCACTCCCCCTTCTCACAGTTCTGCAGTTCTCCTGCCTGAGTATCCTTACCACGTGTGATCAAAACTACCCTGAGTGGGGACTGGGGATTTAGCTCAGCAGCACAGTGCCTGCCTGGTAAGCTCAAGGTCATGAGTTCAATTCCTAGTACCAGAAAACAAAACAAAACAAAACAAAAAATAAATAAATAAAACTACCCTGAGTGCTGCTGCCCTGGGCCACCCAATGGAAAGGCAAGTTCGTAAAACCACCATGCTGTGCCCTCATCCAGCCTGTCCACCGACCTGGCACTGTGTGACGACCTCAGGCTCTTCCCCAAAGTCAAAATGACCATGAAAGGGAGATGTTTTGAATCGACTGAGGACATCAAGGCAGGCATGACGCACGGCTAAAGACAGCTCCTTCCCTGCAGAATGGGCCAGCGTCTGTCCTGGCAGCTTGCTGATAAGAGCGTTTTTCTGTGCCAAGAATTAGTACCATCCTTCCCCCGGGGTCGCCCAGTGACCCAAACCAAAGAGACTTCGGAGTGGTCTATTTCTGCCACACGTGCCCATCTCAGCCTGTGGTTAGATGGGCCAGGAAGCCTCTGTCTGTGTCAGGACACGAAGCAGATGTCTTACCCCTGTGTTACACAGGTCTGATCACGCTCACTTGTTTACTGCCCAGTGCTGATTTTCAGGGGAAGCTGAGGATCAAACCCAGCCCCTACCCCCGGCTTTGGGGACATCTTTCTTTATGGCTACTGTAAGATCAGTCCCTCACAGGAGAAGGACACTGCAGGATTTGTTTTAAAAGTCAACCTTGGACGAAAATACAAGCAACGCCCCTTGGCCCAGTTGGCATAAGCTGGCAGTGTAATTTCACAGCATTCAGAGATGCCGGGCGATGCCTCCCTCCCCGCGTTTGTGTCCCGTGAAAATCTCACATGGATTCCACGACCATAGCTTAGAGGAATTAAAAGATGTGCAATAAAGCAATGACAGTGATCATGCCGGAGAATGCAGGTGTATTCCGCCACTCAGGATAAAGGAAGACAGAAACAGAAAGGAGCTGTGAGGCCCAGGCCGGCTCCTTTTGGTCTCTTTCTTCTGTTTTCCCCCAAGCAGTCTAATCAGTAATCAACCAGTTAGTCATTTCCTTTTGTTGCTATAACAATAACTCCTTGCATTTCAAATGCTTTTGCAATAGAAAAGGAAAAGAATAATAATGTGGAATGAAGGCATTACCTCTGAATGGTATTATTCCCGGCTTTATTAAATTTGCTCTTACACGTGTTTATGGAGGCAGAGAGCTGGTTCTCCCCCAAGCGGCAAATTCCACACTCCTAGCCGCTGGGGGATGGAGTCGGGAGGCCGGGGAAAGGAAGGCCTTCGGTCCAAGGTCTGGGCTCGCCGTTTGTTTTCTCCAGAATGGCTCAGCCTGCTGGCTGCGGCAGCTGATGCCTGGCCTGCCTTGAACTTGATTAAACCATGAAACCAGCATTTCCCTGACCCTGCGTGGGTGAGGCAGCCAGGCTGGGCCAAAAGGGATCCCAGAGGTGGTCTTCCAGCTGCCTCCTCTGTGGGTCAGGATGCTGGACCCCTGGGGTTCGGCTTTGCCTTACTGCTGTGCGGCCAAGCCCAGAGGGGCGCCCCGCACCCATTTGAGGGCAGAGGTGATTAGTACGGATGAGACCGAGTGTGCTTTCTACAGCATGCTTTCTGGGACCCTTGGAGTCTGATGTTTAAACCCTTTTGACACGCTGACAGGCCCTGCTCCTGATGCCCCTATTGACATTAGGGCAAGGTACACTGGCACCAACACCTTTCAAATGCCTCTGCTAGATTAGAATTCCTTGCCAGACAACTGGCCTACCCAGTGTCCTCTGCCATGGCGCCAGGCAGTGAAGTGACGGCCTCTATCCCTGCGACCCCCCCCCCCAGGGCGGTCCTGGATGGCATCCAGCTTGGGAAGTGTGGGAGGTCGGGAGGCCACATGGGCGGCCTGGGGCTCGGTGGGTGTCTCCGTGGTGGCGTGATGAACGTGGTCCAGGGCAATGCGACCGTCCCTGCACGGTGGTGGGAGCATCGCGGTGCAGGTGCAGGATCTGCCGCTGGATGAGCACCCTTTCTCCCCACATGCCCATCCCTGTGTGGGGGTGGGGGTGGGGGAGGACACACATCATTCCCTGAGGCTACGCCCAGCCGGGCTCCCCACCTCCTGACAACTCCAGGCCCTGCTGTGCATTAATAAACTCCTTCCTGCCCAACGAGCCTAGTCCAGCAGCTTGCAACAGCCTCGCCTGGTCCCACATCCTGGTATTTTACACCACCGTGCCCTTCTGCCCCGCCTAGCTCGGGCCGCGGCAGCCCCATGACAACCAGGGAGGTGTAAAGGTGAGAATGCCCTGCAGTCCGTCTCGGGAGGAAACCCATCCCTCAGTACGGATAAAGGTTCTTTGGGGCAAAGGAAGTTTATTAGTAAGCCACTGCCACCTTCGGGTCCAAACCCGCTGGCACGTGTGCAGGCACACAGGTTTGTCACTCGCAGCCCCTGCTCTCCGTGTGCCTGAATGTGCGTGGGGAGCAAAGAAACACCACCAGACTATTTGGAAAGATCCTTATACAGGTGAGAGACGGAGGCTGGGCGGCCTCCCAAGGTCACAGAGAACTAAGTCTGAGTCACGTCGGCGGCCCGGCTCTGCCTGCCGGTGTGCCAGACGCTCGGCACATGCAGTGCGGGGATCAGCCCTGTCTTCCCTCGGGGACCGTTGGCTCTAGCGTCCTGGGAGAGATGTGTGCGTAGTCAGGCCAGGCCAGGCAATGCCACAGTAACAAACATCCCCCAGGCTCCAGGGCTCCCACCTGCACTGATGTCTCACGCACACCGCCTGTCCGCCTTCTCCCCGGGGTTCTGTCCCTGCCAAGGGTGCCACCTGACAGCAAACTGCTCCAAACTCATCGCCCAGAGCCAGGCTCGTCACCCGCATCCTGAGCCACCAGATGGGAAGTAGAGAGAGGGGCCACCTGGAGGAGTTGGGGCCTTGCCAGCGGGTGGTGACGGTCCTGTCCCTGGAGGTTCCTCAGCCCCACCCACTGCGTCCTGTTCCTCCCAGTGTCTCTCCTGCATGCTCCTGGACTGGGTCTCCCCATAAAACACTGCTCCTCAGCACTAGGGTTCTGCAGAGGGCCCCGTGGGGTAGAGGGGGCAGTATACCTCCTCAGGGAGGTGGCTGTGGAGGGCTGCAGGGAGGGAGCCTCGCTGTCACACACACACATACGACACACATGCGTGGTACACACGCACCCAAGGTCAGCTCCGGGAAAGGTGCAGGCAAGGTCTCCGAAGCCCACAGGGGCCACAGCTGTTGGCTGCCGCCTCACTAGCAACCCTGCGGCTGTGGAAGGCTCTCCTGCCCGGCTCCAGACAACCCTGCTCGGCCTCTGGAGCGGGCCTGAGCTCGCTGACCCACCTGGAGCCACAGCCCAGGACCCACCCACCTTCCTACTGAGTCCAGCTGCAGGGAAGACGGGGCTCCAGGGAAGGCACCGAGGACGGAGGCCATGGAGGGAGGGCTGACAACTGTCCTTCGGCTCCTTCCTCCTCCCCACCTCAGGGTTGTCTGCTGCCTAGAAGGCGCTGGACGCCTCTGCTCCCTCCATCCCCAACTGACCCCTGGTCCGGCCACCCAGCTTCCTGCTGGGCTGCCTGGTGCCCAAGACTCCTCCTCCCCCAGTGACTCGCACCTGGCCTCCTACAGCCCGGCTCCCCAGGGACAGGCAGAGCTCGTGTCACCCACGCCCAGTGCCCGTGGGGCAGCAGCTTGGTGGCCTGGTGTTGAAGGCCACTCACCAGGAGGGGCCTCTGCCCACCTTCCTGGCCCAGCCTGTGCCCAAAGACACAGCACACACCACGGGCACATGCCAGCTAGCTCCGCTTGCCCTGCTTGTGCCCTCTCCCTGCAGCTGGGGTGTCCTCCTGGGTACACCCACCAGCCACACAGCTCGGCCTAGAGCTGCCTGCTTCTCTGTTGGCCTGGTTCCTGCCGCACATAGAACGAAAGGCAGGCCTGGGAGCTTGAGCCCTGGTTACCTCTGCAGGCAGGTCCAGCCTGCACCTCTCCTCCCGGGGCCCTGGCAGCCCCACCTGTGCCCTGAGGCCTGGGCTCTTCCTGCCCGCATGGACCTGGGTTCCAGTCCCATGGGATGTGGGACGGGCGCTGGAAAGCTTGTGATCTTGTCCTGTGGTGGCATCAGCACTGGCTGAGGCCTGGGCCTTAGGTCACATCCCTCAGATTCCCTGTCACGCAGATACACAATCACGTGACCACACACTCAACACCTGCACACACGCTCGCGCACAACTCACCCGCACACAGCCTGCAGAGCCTCCCTGCCCGGCTCCCTGGGGTCCTGTGTGGAGTCAGTCAGCGGCAGGATGGCCAGCAGGGCCGCAGCCCAGGACGAGCCGTCCACAGGTGGGAAGGGGTCTGAGAGCTGCAACCCTGGACATCAGGGGCAGACACAGCCAGAGTGGGCAGACATTTTATTCCCCTCCTGTCCCCGGGGCCACCTCAGTCAGAGGGAGGGCAGGCTGTGGGCCAAGGAGGCCTGTGGGGACGAGGACGCGGGGCCCTGCCTCGAGCCGAGCCGCACCGTGCAGGCAGGCGGCACTCTTTCAGTCTCCGTGACAGTCGTGGACACTGCCAGTGTGGCAGGCAGGGGCGCAGCGACCCCGTGTCGGATGCTCGCTGGGTTCCTGGTGACACCAAGGGGACAGCTCTTTCACTGGACAGGACCAGCGAGTATAAAGTGACCGAGGCAGTGATGAGGTTGCCGGGAGGCTGGCAGGTTGGGGACTGTAGAAAATTCTTGCACACACACACACACACACACACACACACACACACACACACGCGCGCTGCAGGGACTTGCACTCACAGAGCCAGGAAAAGGCCCCGCCGCTCACACCACGCTCTGCCGGCCCCCGGTCCTCTCGAAGTCGGACACCCCAGAGCTGCCACCCCGGCCAAAGTCAATGAAGATGCCTTCGGAATCCGAGTCTGCCGACTCCAGGGTCTGGTCCACCAGGGTCTCGGGGCTCGGGGTGGGCGCGGTGCTGAGGGCCGGGCCGGGCTTTGAGGGCTGGGCCAGGGGGGACAGTCTGCTGGGGCAGGGCCCCGAGTGGGGTGTCGTGGGGCCCTGGTCGGGTACGTCGGTGAAGCCCTGGGGCTCGGGGCAGGACGTCATCTCGGACACCGAGTGCCTGCGGATGCTCGTGCCGCCAGCTGCCACGCCCTCCGCCTCGTGCTCGGCCACGGGGTTCAGCAGCGGCGTGTTGTAGCTCTTCGACCGCACCACGGGGTTCTTGGCCAGGACGTCCCCCGAGCGGGAGCGGCGCAGGAGGCGCTTCTCTGTAAGGAGAGACAGGAGGTCACCGTCGGGCTCCCCCACGCCTGGCACCGTGTGCACCCCACCCTCCTCGGCTGGGGAGAGCACACGGGCCACCCTCAGCCTGGCCGGGCAGCGGGACCTCAAGCCAGTTGCCTGGGTTCAAATCTGTAAATGGGCCAGTGACATCGATGCTGCGTGCCTCAGTTTCCCCACCGCGCAATCTATGAATTTTAGGGGCTGGCACCTTCTTAGGCAGACTCAGCTCCTGCCTTCCTAGGCCTGCTGTCCCAGGGAGGGGGGGTCAAACCCACAGGGTAAGCTGCAGAGGCGGTGGTGGCATGGGCTACCAGGGGCTGGGTGACAAGGGCCCCGCAGGGACTGTCAGGGAGGACCACTGCTCTGTGTGGAGGGGGCCCGCGGTGAGGGCTCTAAGGCCTCGCCGGCCCGCGTGGAGAGCAGAGGATTGCAGGGTCCCCGCAATCCTCCCTAGTGGCCACCAGGTGGCAGGGCGGGACGCAGCAAATGGCCCTTCTTAAAAGGGGAGGCCAAAGGGGAGGTTGGGGTCTCCTGGTCCAGGGTCCAGAGGCACACGGCGCGGGGAAAGGCCGTGCTCATTGGCTGTGGGGCCTGCCTGTCATTCGGTGGGGAAAGATGATTCTGCCCCAACAGGGGCACAGGCTGCCACTCCAGATGGGGGGCGCTCCCAAGTGGTCCTCCTATCACAGTGGCCCCTATGGGAGGATGCCGTCCACTCTCCAGCCCAGTGGTCACCGCAGGGGCTCAGTCATCCACTGTCCCTGCAGGCCCAGGAGGGCGGGGCTTGGTCTGTGGTGCCCAAGCGACGTTGTGCGAACCAAAGGAACATCGTGCCAGCTCTGGTGCACACACTAGGCCGCCCTCACCCCTCCACAGGGCTTGGCACCGCCCACCCTGGGGTCCTCCCCACCCCGATGTAGCTCCCTGGTTAGGGGCCGGGATTCCTCAGGCCTGGCCGTTTGCACTAGCTCTGCCTTCTTCCAACTTGCAAGCCTGCGCCGGGAATGGGGCGTGCCCGTGGCTCTGGGGTGTCACATGTCCGCTCGTGGGTCTGCAATCCCTCCCCACCCCATTCCTCAGTGCCCGGCTGGACAGCTAGCGGTCTGCCACAGGACTGACGCTACCCCGAACCCCAGTCTGGGTCATTCTCAGCCGTGGAACTCCATCTGCCTATCACCTCAGGGTGGGCGTGGCCTGTGGCCACGCCCCCCGCCCAGGGCCCACGTGACCCTCACCCAGGATGCAGGAGTGGACGAAGGGGCCCTCGCTGGAGTAGAGGCCGTAGGTGCCGAGGTACGGCGACACCACCTTTTGGACTAGCGTCTCCAGGCGCAGGTAGTCTTCAGACGTACCCCGGGCTTCGTGCACGCCCTGTAAGACAGCAAGGGGCGGGCGTGAGACACACCTTACCCAGCCTCCTCCCATTCCCACAGCAAACTTCCTGCCCTCCCACCCTCCTGCGCCCTCTGCTAGCTGTGTGGTCTGGGACACCCCACGCAAAGGGCACTGTGGACAGAGAAGGCCCCGCCTCCTACAGTCTCCGGGACGCCTCCCCACCGCTCAGCCTCCTTCCTGGCCCTCCGGGATGCTCCTGGGCCGGCTGTCCTCCCTGCTGCCCTCCACCCAGTAGATCACTGAAGCGCCCCAGCCCTTGAGGTTTCCATCCACCTCCTCCCGCTCCCGCCCCCCCCCCCCCCCCCGCAGTGGGCTGAGCTGTGCGCAGTCCCAGCACCCTGGTGGAGGGCAAGGGGACAGCTCCAGCGAGTGCTTGCTGTATGATCGGCGTGTCAATGAATGAATGCAGAGAGCTCGGCTTGAGAGCTGCCGGCTGGCAAGACTCCTGGCCGGAACTTTGGCCCAGAGGTGGTGGTGGGGGTCCCCATACCCCTTGGGCTGTCTCTGCCCATAGCTGTGGAGAGGCAATGTCACAATGGCCCCAGAGCTGCTTCTGGAGCCGGGCAGGGAGTCTCACGGACCTTCTGCCATCCATGTTTAGGACCTGGAAGAGCTGTGTCCCCTGCCCTGTGTCGGGGCCCCTGGGTAGGAGCTGCGGTGCTAGGGCTGAACTGGGCACACAGCAGACCCTCAGCAATGGCTGTGACCTCGGCCCGACTCCAGACCCCAGAGAGCAGGGGTCAGGTTCACTGGGGATAGGTGTGCCAGGAGCCTGGACAGGGTCATTCGTGTAAACAGATCGGTTTGGGAGCCCTCTGGGGGAATGGCGGGGCTAGCGTTGGGGTGGTCAGGGAGGTGTGACTTGGGTACTAAATCTGCTTCCTGCCCCTTCCTCTCCAGCACGGCTGCCCTGGTCTGCTTCCTGGCCCCCATGAGCTGAGCACTTCGCTGCACCAGGCCCTTCTGCCCCTGCTCCCACCTTGGAGCCGGCTGACCATGGCTGAGCCCCTGCAACTGAGGGACAGAGTAAACTCCTCCTCCTCCAAGCTGTGCTGGGTACTGTGTCCAGCAACGGGCAAGTAACTCAGATCACTCAGAGTGGGGACCAGGAAAGAGGCTTAAGGGCCAGGGCAAGGACACAGTCTGGGGGACAGCAAAGCCCACCCAGGAAGCTACATGAGGCACAGCAACCATTAGGGGAAGCACCACGGGGCCCTGGTCGCCAACACTCTCCTGGGTCCCCACAGCCCTGTGCCCCTGGGAGAGTCCATAGGGGATTTTCCTGGGATTTCTCCCCACAACCCTCACATCTGCCTGCCAGGTAGGAGGTCTTCTCAAACAGATGGGGACACGGGGCCCAGCTACCCCACAGCCAGGCCAGGCTGAGGTGCCAGGAATCCCACCCACAGGCAGGCATGCGGCTTGGGCTCCCAAGTGATCCATAACTCTTCAAACTCCAGCTCCTGCTGGCTCTGGGACCTTCACAGGTACCCTTGGCCCCGGGGCCGACTCTGTACACAGGGATCGCAATACCCAGAGTTCAGGAAGACACACAGGGCTCTGCAGCCTTAAAGGCAGGGTGGGCTGGCCCTGGGGCCCCAGCAAGAGTGGACTGTATTTGTATTTCCTCGCTGTCCTGTACCCAGGAGACAAGCTGGCACCTTGAGCCACTGTGGGCAGGAGAAGCAGCAGGCTGTAGCAGATGCTGCTGGTGGGCTTCACCCCACCTGGCTCAGGTACCTGAGCCCCAGCTCCCACGCGTGGGCTGCCAGCAGCGTGCCCTTTCCCAGCACCATCCGGGCATGAAAACCGCCTGGATGGAATGACCGCAGCCTCTGTGTGCAGGTGGCGTGGCATCCACAGCCTCAGGCACAGACCTAGTATCCTGGAGGAACAACCACGGTCCCCCTTCACACCCCGCCCCCGGGCACCCACAGCCTGGCCTGGCATTGTCCCTGTCCATCTCTCCCTCTTTGCCTACCAGATTTTCTCTAGGTCCCCGAATCCCCGGGCGGGCCCGGCCTGTGGCACCTGAGCCTGACCCTGCGCCCACACTGGCGCCCCCACCTGCAGCACCAGCAGCATCTGGACGATGGCGGGCGGTACGCGGGCGTGGGCACGGGCCAGCGCGTCCTCCAGCTTCACACTCAGGGTGATGGCGTTTCGGAAGTGCAGCAGGGCCAGCTGGCGCACGGACGGCTCCTTGCCCTGGGGACAGAGTGCACCATGAGCAGGACACTTGCCTTCCTCCTGCTTGCTCAGGGCTGTGACCCTCAGGCCCCCGCCCACCCCCATCCCAAGTGAGGGGCCCCTTGGGTCCCCCGCAGGGCAGGGGTTCCTGCACAGGCCGGGGGGTCGGGTGCAGCACCGTGGTGCCCAGCCCAGCCCAGCCCGGCCGCTTCCCTCCCAGGTGAGGCTCTCACCATCGCAGTGCCCGCCCTGCCGCACCTGCACGGGGTAGAAGATGGCCTGCAGCGTGGGCAGCACGTCGCTGAAGAAGAAGTCCCAGGTCTCTGCCAGTGAGTCCAGCAGCTTCTGTCCTGTGGGGTGAGGAGCTGTCACCCCCGCCTGAGCCTCTCCACACACCCAGGACAAGGGGCGGGGTCCTGCAGAGCCCGCCCTAGGGGCACCTGCCTAGGCCAGCGTCTGCCGCTGGCACAGCGGTTCCACAGCTGGAGCATGTCACTCAGCTGCCCTGCACCTCAGTGTTCCTGCCTATGAAATGCGACAGTGACAGGGCTGCCTCACACACCCCAGGACCCAGGGACACCAAGCCACGAGACGCTCGGCTCGGGGTCTGGTGCTGGCCAACACTGGCGGCCAGTCCCCTTTCATCACGAGCATGCCCGCGCTGTCTCCACAGAGGGGCCACAGCCCTGCCCAGCACTGCCAGACCCTCCAACCCCGAGCCGAGTCCGTCTGCCTGCCCCTACCTGCCTGTTTGTCTGTTCACCCGACAAGCACGTACAGGGCGCCCGTTCTGGTCCAGCCCACCCTAGACACTGGGCACCCCACTGACCCCCAACAGCTTCCAGACCCATCAGGTGACAGGGAGGGAGGGGATGCAGACTGCGGCTGGAGGACAAGGGTGAGAGATGCCCTCTAGGGTCAGTGATCCAGGCTGCGGTTCCAGGCCGCCTTCCCTGAAGGCCAGGCCATCCTGCCTGTCCGCCTGCCAGGGGTGGGTCTGGGGGAGCTGGAGAGCCCCCAGTGGCAGCACCCCTCCCCAGGCAGGAGAGGGGGTGAATAGTCGGGGGGGCTTCCCGGAGGTGCTGTCCAGGCCAGACATAGGGAACAGCTTTCCAGAGGGGCTGGTCTTGGCTGTGAACCCCCAAGCAGGCAGTGGAAAGGGGATGCATGGAAACTCCATGGGCATCTTGGCCTCGGGACAGCTGAAGTCCCCAGGCTGACTCTGCGCTCCACCAGGAAGAGCAACCCCCCAGCACAAGTCCCCAGGGGCTCCGAGCCAGGCGGGGAGGGTCTCCACAGGCCACCAGCTGCCTTTCTGGCCCCATGGGCATGTAAAGGCCGGATGGAGGGCCTGGGCCTGGCCCCCCCCCGCTCTTTCCTTGGGCGCTGTCTCCCACCCGGAAACCCTGTCCAGCCAGCCCCGTGCGGTGGCCTGGCCTCCGTGTGTGGCCCGCACCTGGCTTGGGGCGAGGTGGCCGCAGGAGCCCAGCAGGCGGATGCTCGCAGCCCTGGGGGACCCGCCTGCACACACAGTCCCTTCAGTGCCGCCGACCCGTAGGAAGAAAGGGTGCTCAGTGTCCGCTGGCCGTGGGGTGGCCCTGGGCGTGTGCCAGGCCGCGCTCTGCTGAGCAGGCCGTTCCGCAGCCCACAGGCGGAAGCTGCAGGAAGATGCCGAGAGCAATCCGGGCCCTGTCTGATGGCCTGGGCCTCACAGACTGCTGGGGGATCCCAGGGACGGCAGTGACCACAGAGGCCACAAGTGGGGCCCGAAGAGCGGGGCCAAGGACACAGGCAGTGGTTTGGCCACAGTCCCAGGGGCAGAGGACCACAGGCTGCTTCCTGGATGCCACCAGCCTCCCCTCCCCAGAGGCACCCCATCCTGCCCCCAACATGAGCCACGGAGCTGCAGGCCTGAGGCCCAGGCCACAGGCTGGGAGGCCTCTGGCAGAGACCACGGCAAAGACCACGCTCAGGAGCCACTGCCTCTAGCAGCCCCAGGGCAGGAGGAGCCCTTCCTCCCCCAGGCTGCTCTTTGCCCCGCCGCTCACCTGACAGGCCCATCTCCAGGTCCCCAGATGCCACCAGGGCTGACACGCAGTGAGCACCCTGCACACGGACAGTGCCCCACCCTACGGTATGGCAACAGGGACCCCAGGCCAGAGAGGACAGGACACCTATGGCACCCAGCTGGGAACTCCCTGTCCATCCCAGGGCCTGGGGTGCTCAACCGAGGCTGCCTGGGGCCACCTTCATCCCTGCCACCTATAGCAGACCCACTAGGGAGGACGCGGTGCCGAGCACAGAGCTCCACCAAGCTGCACAAAGCCACCTCCTCTCAGGACCCTGTGCCCGGGCCCGATTGGTGGGTGCAGGCACCTCAGGAATGTGCTGAGTCGGGAGGGTGTGGGATGGCTCCTCCCCAGGTGCCAGGGCTCCGGGCCACCCTGAGGCTGTCCTGACCCCTCCACCCCGTGGCTATGTTCTCCTGGCCCTTCTCATGCTCCCGCCTCAGCTGGCATTACCAGTGTATGCACCAGGGGCGCAGGAGGAACACACGACCTGCCACTCAGTTCCATCAGGGCCTCAGCCTCCTTGAGATGGGCAGAGGTCTGGCTCCCGGGTCCAAGCAGGGGCTTGAGTAGGGGCCCAGGTGAGGGGCAGGGTGCCTGCTGCCCTTCCACCTGGCCCTGGGCATCCCATGAGCAGTGGCTGTAAACACCTGGTACCTGGTGCGGAGCCCAGCAGGGAGAGCACAGAGGGGCCTGGCACACAGCACAGGCCCAATAAGCCCTGGAGGAGCCTGGAGCCAGCGTGGGCGGAGCACGAAGGACCCCAGGCACACACTGGGGCTGCTGCCCCAGGGCCTGGGACGAGCCCTCTGTCAGCTGATGATCCCTGGGCAACAAAGCCCCTGGGACCACAGGCTCGGCAAGGGCCAGGCGGCGTGGCCTGGAGAAGACAGACCGGGTTTTGAGCCTGCCTGTGCCTGTCCTGCAGTGTCACTGCGGAGGAACTGCCCACCTCCACGGTGTCCCTGTCCTCCCTGGCTCCGCCCCACCCTGCAGGAATATCAGGGTGACCTTGTTCCTAAACCAGCCGTCCTGCAAGCCGCTAGACCCTCAACCTGTCCCTCTCCTATCCTGACACCCTGCTGTGGCTTGTCCCGGCCGTGGTCAGGAGGCCTTGGGACAGAAGGTCCTTGCTGCAGGGAGGGCAAGCAGGGCCTTCCCGGGCTCCTGAGGGTGGGATGGACTCTCCCCAAGTCCGCTCAGTGAGACCTTGCCCTGCTGCTGCCGCCCTTCCAGCTCTCCTGACAGGGCCGCCCAGAGCCCTGGGGTCTGCAGCCACATTCACAGCACGCTCAGCCCGAGGTACCCAGCACGGTGCCTGGCGAGCCCGCCGCGGGTGCACTCACCCTCATAGAAGCGGATCTTGTCCCGAAGAATCACCATGCCTTTCGTCAGCAGCTGGTTCTGAAAGCAGATGTGAGGTATCGTCCCTGCCCTGCAGGGGCCCCAAACATCCACACCCCGCTGGCCCACTGTGAAGCCTGGGCCCGCACCAAGCTGGACCTCTCAGGGTGCTGTGAGGGGGGAGGTGGCCACAGGGACATCCTGAGAAACAGGCCACACACCCGGAGCCCTGACCCCGAAAAAAGTGGGGGCTGCAGCGCCGACTGGCTCGTCACCCCAGCCACACAGGGACCTGCGACAGGATGGGCTGCTCGGCTGAGCACAGAAGCCTGTGGCCTGGGCACTGCACACAATGGCCAAAGGGGCGACACCCCAGCTTCCACGCAGGGACAGCGGACAAAGGACACGCGGGGAACCGTGCGAGGGAACGGTGTCCGCGTGGAGGGGAATGTGGTGGCATCACCTGCTTCGACGTAGACGCTTTAAAACACAACGCCCAGAGGAAGAGGCCACACACGAAAGGCCACGAACGCAGTGCTGGGACACAAAGAGAACAGGAGCAGGCGCTGTGGCCGTCCGCCCAGCAAAGCCACCCACCTGCAGGTACTCGGTGAAGAAGGACCCCAGCTCCGTCTTCAGCAGCTGCCTGCGTGGGAGGGGAGACGGCAGTCAGCGGGGACTGGGCAGCCGGGCCCCACCTGCTTGGCCTGGTGCGGAGGAAGGGGGCAGATTCCACACCAGCCGCAGGCTGCAGGCATCAGCTGCTAAGCCACCCCCAACTTGAATTTTTACTTTGCAGTTTCCACTAGGGGAACCTTCTAGCCAGTCCCAAGTTGCTTCTCTCACTTTGCATGGTTCTGATGGGCACCAATTTCAGCGAACAGGGTCTGAGTAGCGCCAGCTGCCCAACTACATAGTTCAAGTTTCAGTTCCCCTAGCGCTAAGGACTTAAAAGAGCTCTAGTGCTGGCTTCCAGGCCACCAATCACCACGCAGCTAACAGATGTGTATTAAGACTTATAACCAATCATGGTACTTCTTTCAGAGCTGCTCTATGATTGGTCCCAAGCACCTATCACTCAGTTCTGCCGACAGTAAAGTGTGTGGCCCCCTTGGTAGCCTCAGAGCTCAGCCTGGCGCTCCCTGCAGGTGCCAGGACCCTGACTTAGCTGACTGCTTGGCAAAGCACCTCACACAACACCTATTCCACGATGAATGGCTTTTGTCATTTATTGAATACTGTATTGAGTATGAACCCAACGCCTGCTAGGGTGCAAGTAAGCGCTACTGTAGTGCTGAAAAATTTTAAAGTGAAACCCAGGGGCTACCTCATAAATGAAAAGCGATAATGCTTTCCCAAGCTCTCGGGGAGGCTGAGGCAGGAGGGACGCCAAGTTAGAGCCCAGCCTGGACAATTTAGTAAACTCTAGTCTGAAAGAAAGGAAAAGTAAGAACAGACTAATAGTGTTCGAGTGACTCTTGGTAATGTTATTAAACAAAGAAAACATGTTTGGATGTTCTTTTTTGAGACAAGGTCTTACTACGTAGCCTAGGCTGTTCTTCAACTCAAGGTTAGGTTGCTAGATCGGATTAAAAAGACAGCCAAGCCAGGTGTGGTGGCGCACATCTGCCATCCCAGCACTTGGGAGGCTGAGGGAGGAGGGTTACTGTGAGTTTGAGGCCAGCTAGGCTACACAGTGAGTTCAAAGCAAGGCTGAACTACATAGTAAGACACTGTCTCAGAAACAAAACAAAATGTAAACCAAATAAACAGCCAAAGTATGGTGGTGCATACCTGTTATCCCACCTACTCAGGAGGCTGAGGCAGGAAGGACTGTTTGAGCCCGAGTTTGGGGACAGCTTGGTCAACATAAAGACCCTTTCTCAAAAAAAAAAACCAAAAAAATCCAGACCTCTTTGACATCCTTCCTAGGATCTTAGCAGGGGCCTGCCCAGCCTGCTTAGAATAGTGGTGGTGAAGCTTTCAGAGCTTCCAAAAATACCAACAGCCCGCTGGGGCATGTGTGTCAAGGGTTTCCACCACCGGGTTAATCTAAGCCACTCATGGGCTCCTGGACAGCAAGGTGTCAGGCCACACTATGGGTGGGGGGACGCCCAGCCCTGTGCATGCTGGGAGTGAAGGAAGGGTAGGGAGAAGGAGGTGTGGGTGGCGGCTCCAGCAGCAAAGGGAGGGAGGGAGTCCAGGAGGAGTGTCTCGAGACAGTGATGGGGAGGGGGCACTGTTCCCCGAGGGGCAGGGACAGGTGATCAGCAAAGCCCTGAGCAAAGCCAGCAGCTAGAAGGCCCGGTCACACTTCTCCCCATCCAAGGCTGCTGGCAGCACCCCAGGCACGGGACAGAGGCTGCCATGGTTGCACAGGACACAGAGCACAGAGCAGCTTCACCACGGGGCAGAAGGAAGATGCCTCCACAGCTGGCGCCAGCAGGGCACCTAGGGCTCAGGCTCCAAGACGGGGGTCACAGTGTGACTAGAGCCCTCAGGGACAAACACCAGAAAAACCCAGTGAGTCAGGAGAGGTAAGGGCCCCTGCTGCCACTCAGACTGCTCTGCTCCCTGAGGGTTCTCTCCAGGCCGGGCTTGAACTTGTGAGCCTCCTGCCTCAGCCTCCCAGAGCGCTAGGAGTCCAGGGTGCGACACCGTGCCCAGCACCAACTGTAACAACTATGGTGCAAAGTGTGAAGAGGGGACCAAGAAAGATGCCAGACAGCGGAGCTCCCCAAAACCCAGCCCTGTGCCTCAGAGGGCACCACAGGGCGGCGTGTTTGGGTCAGCACGGGCGAGGCCCAGACCCGGGAACAGGCTGCCTTACGACTGAGGCACTCTGAGCGCTGCGTGGGCAGGAGACAGGGACGCATTTCTCCCAAGACTCCCGAGTGCCATATACACCGTGGAGGCGACCCTGCCACTGTCACCGGGGATTCACACACACCCTAGCATCCCTGAATGCAGAACCAGACAATCACAGGTGGCGGCGAGGGCGTGGGGATCCAGCACACTGTAAGGGGGCAGCCACGGAGGGAAAGACCAGCAGCTCCCCAGAACATCACGGGGCACCCAGCAGCCCCAGGCCTCACACCAGGATGCCGGAGGCAGGCAAAGGGTGAACTCCATGGCGTCAGAATTCTCAGTGAAAATTTAATCCTGCCAGGCACTGTACATCAACAGCAGCTGCTGACACAACGGCAGTCTCTAGGGGTGGCCTGTATTTACCGGCACCACACTGCTTCCGTTTAGGTACACAGGTTCCACTGTGTCACAGTGGCTGATGGCCAGCGCTGGGCAGTGACACCCTGCACAGGTCCAGATGCACGGCCACACCTGTAGGTGTGCGTCAGCCACCTCTGTGACGTGCGCATGCAGTGGAATGGCCATGGCCGTGACGCGTTTCTTGAGCGTGTTCCTGCTGCTGAGTCAGCCAAGCCTGTGCAGATACAAACACACACACACAAGGCAGTGACAGGGACGTCCAAGTCTTCAGTGAGCCGGGTCAGCCCCGCCTGTTTTCCCAGGCAGGAGGATGGCCCCAGGCACTTCCTTGTGCCCCGCCCGAGCTCCTGCTCCCGGGAGGAATGTGGCCCAAGGGCCAGGGCCAGCAAAACACAGCAGCACACAGGGCTGAAGATCACGGAGGGGCTGGGTGTAGCGCAGCCTCTAGAAATTTGGGGATTTGGCAGTATTTCCTTTTTTCTTTTCCTGCTTTTTTTGGGAGGAAGGGGTAGATAGAAAAGGGGGCCTTTGCACTGAGCTACATCCCCAGCCCTTTTTAATTTTATATTTTGATACAAGGTTTCCCTAAATCACTAAGTTGCCCAGTTTGTACTTGTGATCCTCCTGCCTCAGCTTCCCAGAGTGCTGGGATTACAGGCCTGCACCACACCTGACTTTTTGGGGGTGGTTATTGTATCAGCAGATTCTTTAGCGTGTCATACACCCATTTTCCTGAGAGGAGCATACTAAGAAGGACTGCATGGGTCGCCCCCTCCATGGATGCCCCAGATGAAGAGAAAAGCAAGACACCGTGATGTGTCAGGCCTCAGAAGGGCACCATGCTCCTTGTCGGAGACTCTGGCAGGCCCCTTCCTCCCTGGGCCTCAGTTTACCCTATGTAAGGGCCACTGAAGTGGGCATGGGTTGCCCACATGTAAAATCCGCCTTCCATTCCATTTACCCTTTCATCCCACCCTCAACAAGGGGAAGGTTTGCCGCCTATTTTTCCTGATAAGCTGTTTTGTTTTTTCGAGATGGTATCTCACTGTGTAGTCCACGCTGGCCTCAAACTCAAGGCAATGGCCTGCCTCAGCCTCCTCAGTGCTGGGATTCCAGCTGCCATAGCTTTTGACAGGGGGACAGGCAGAGTGGCTCAGGTTGGGAACACCTCCTGCACCAGCTCTGTGACTCCGGGCAACAGCTTGCCGGCTCTGGGCTACAGCCTCCTCTGCCACAAACGATGACTGGGTCACTGCCCGTCCCTCCTGACAGTCACAGGAAACCAGGGGCATCCGCGCACGGAGAGTGCTTTTCCGGGAATGACAGGAGGGCGGCCTCCTCGGGGCAGGATGAATGCCCCAGAGATGCCGCGCCCACTTCCCCTGGCAGCGCGGCCAGGCCCACTCACTGGCTGCGGTCCAGGCCGGCACTCACCGCACGCCCTCGTTGAGACTGAAGAGCTCCTGGTCGGGCAGCCCCTTGCGCTGGAAGACGGCGATCACCCCGTTGTGGATGCTGTGGACGGGGAGAGAGAGGCGTCCACACCCGAGGCCCAGGACCCCAGGGCCAGCATCTCCCCCACCCAGAGACCCCACAGTGCTACAACCCCAGCCCGGGCCTGCCTGAGCAAAGGCCTGGTCTCGAGGGTCCTGGTCACCTCTCCAGGATTTCTGGGCGCCCTGGCCACACTCTGTGGTCAATCTTTGGCCAGTTCTTCTCCCCTGCAGGGCCAGAGACTGTGGAGACCCTGCGCTGGGCCTCTCCTGCCCAACACATCCACATCCTGCTGACCTCAGCCTTGTTTTGTTTTTTGAGATAGTCTTGCTGTGTAGTTCTTTGAACTCACTGTGCAGCCCAGGCTGGCCTTGAACCGGTGGCAACCCTCCTGCCTCAGCCTCCAGGTGCTGGAATCCCAGGTGTGTGCCACCACGCCTGGCTAACCATTACAGCATCTGCAACCTCTGGCTCCTCTACTGCCATGGCCACCCCGAAGTCAGGGCTCAGGATGCATAAACAGTGCACCCCTGTGGGCGTTTAAAACCCTCTCATTGGCAAGGTGGCTCACACAGCACGGAGGCTGAGGCTGGAGGATGGCCAGGAGGGAGCCCCCTCTTCCCCAGACTCTCAGAGGCTGGAAGGATGAAGGCTCGTTCAGAGCAGTGGACGGCTTGCTCCTGGCTGGGCCGTGCAGCACCTCTGCCAAGTCCCCGAGGGGACCCAGTCCCAGGAAAGCTGCACCCCACTGCAGACTAAAAATGGCCCCGGATCCGTGGGCGTCCGAGGGCCACTGCGAAGGCAGCTGTCTTGCAGCAGCTGCCACCCTGCCGGGCTGAGGGCTGGGCCTCATGGTGGGCCCGGGGGAGGAGGACAGGTGGGAGCAGGAGCCAGAGCTGGTATGGGAGGCACCCAGGGGCCTCCGCCCTGCTGCTCTGGGGGACCTGCCTTCCCAGCCTCAGGTGGCCTCCATGGTCGCCTCCAGAGGGGTCCCAGCTCACGCCAGGCCCTAACCAGAGGTGCCTGAACAAGGCTTCCCTGCTGCCTCAGGGCCCGCGCCCCCACCTGTCCCTGTCCCTGTCCCTGTCCGCCGCAGCTGTGTGGAGCTGCTCTGGCTGGTTCTGAGGAGGAGGCCTGTGGCTTACTGAGGACCCCACCTGTCCACCCCCACTGCCTGCCCCTGCCCTGGTAGTCCCAGCTCCCTCCAGCTGCCCATGTGACCGCGCAGTCTGTGTTCCCACCCACACAGTGGTGGGGTGAGCGTGGCACCCACCTCCCCCAGCCTCACTAAACCTGCAGGAAGTCGTGGGCCGAGTGACAGACAGGGGTGTGAACAGCCGCACCCCAGCCACACCCACCATGTCCTCCTCCCTCTCCTGCTAACCGCCAGCCTGTGGTGGGACCTCAGGCCCCAGGGGAGAACACGGGAAGGCTCAGAAGGCCTGGGGTTCGCGCTCTCACAAGTCTGCTGCCCAGCAGAGCCAGAGCTGGGCCGGGGTCCCTGCCCACAGGGTTCCCAGCGCTCCAGACCCTGGGGTTTCCCGGCTGGGCCGCTCCATGCGCTTTCCGAAGTCCACACAGGGCAAGCAAGAGAAACCTCGCGTGGCCCGAGGAGAGGCGGGGTGGGGAGGCCCAGGCTTCATGTGACTTGCCATCCCAGGGAGAAGTGAAACCTCGGGACCAGAGCCTGCCTGGAGGCACAGGGCGGGAGACTCTGGACACCCAGGCCACTGGCGGGGAGGGTGCACCTGAGTCCCTCAGGGGTGTGATTAGGGCTCCTGGGGATACTTGCTCAAGCTGCTCTGCTTTAAGGGGCTCTCTGGGATGTGACTGGCTCATATAGGAGGCTGGCAGAGTGAGGGGATGTGGGGAGATGGACCCCATCTTCCTGGGCCTCTGCCCCACTCTGGACTGGGCTTCTGCAGCCTCAGAAGACCCAGAAGTGACAGAGTCTCTGCTAGGGCCCCTCCCCTCCTCCTGACACCCCCATGAGGCTGGCCTGGCTCCCACCGCGTAGCTCCTCCAGGGACACTGGGTCATTTTTCTTTTTCTTGTCCAGTGCTGGGGATGGACTCTAGGACCTGGAGCATGCCAGGCAAACGCTCTGCCATGAACCAAGCTGTCCCTTTCGGGACCCAAGGGAAGAGGCCGGGGTGGCCAGGAAGTGATCCAGGAGCCTGGTGGGGACCTCGAACCCCTTCTGGCAGCAGGCACCTGAGCCCACACAGCCAGCATGCAGGGATGGTGGTGGTCATGTCCTCCCTGGCTGCTGCTACCCGAGTCCTGCCCTCCCTGAGGAGGCCGGGTTCTTGCTGGCAGGGAGCCCGTGTGCGGGGCGAGGGCCTGCAGGGAGGCCAGAGGCGGCCAACTCTGAGCTTCATCCGTCTAAAGTGGAGGCACCAGTGGGGCCCAGTCCCCGTCCCCGCCTTTGTGAGCTTCTAGAGGTGCCTGCGCCCCGCGTTCTACCTCCCCCTCTGGGGCCTGCGGGAGGCACCTCTGTCTCCAAGGTCCCTGTGGTGCTCGGGCAGACCTGTGACCACATGGGGCCTCCCAGACAGGTTGGCACAGCCTCCCGGCCCAGGTCCCTAACTGGACAGCACCTGCAGTCTTCTGCCAGGTGTAAGCTCCACCCCGTGTGTCCTGACAGCAGACCATGGAGGTCCTGTGCCTGACTGGTCTGAGGAGGGGGCTCAGGACACAGCCTGATCCAGAGCAGCAGGCAAAGGTGCCGAGGGTCAGTGCAGACCTCATGGCCCCTGCCTGGAGGTTTGGCCCTTGTTCTCCGGTCCTTTAAGACCCCTAGCTGGGCATGGACATGGGCGGTGCCTGCCCTTCTCGGGCCTTGGTGGGCTCCTGTGCAAAATGAGAGCATCGTGCTCATCTTGAAGGCTTCGGGGATGCAGGCTAAGGCGGCAGGCACACTACAGTGTCCATGGGACGGGGTGCTCAGCCGTGCTTGGGGTGTCCGGGGCGCAGGGTACTCTGTGAGGGCTGGGACTGGTGGCTGGAGTGGACAGGGCTCCAGCATCTTCTGGCTAGGACCAGGGGAGCGAAGACAAGGTCCTTTAGGCCTTGCTCTTGTCCCCCACCTGAGATGGCCAATGGCTACGGAGTACAGACAGCTCTTCCCATCCACACCGGCTGTTCCTGGCCCCAGCGGGGACGGGAGCCCACATGTGTCCCTGGTCACTGGCCTCAGGGCATGGGGAGATGCTGTCCATCCCTCTCCTCCTCCGGCTGAAGACAGCCAGCCGGGGAGGCAGATGGAGCGGACGGTGACAGCCCCCTGTGCCTGCTGCCCGAGCGCACACCCCACCCTCCCTCACCTAGGCTCCCGCCCCAGCGGTGAAAATGGAAGGGGCTTTTGTGGGGCGGGTCCCCCATGGGGCACTGGCGCAGGCGGCCAGATACCCATGTGTCCCTTAGCACTCTAGGGTTGCTGGGGACCTTGGGGCATCTTCTGGGGTGCTCGGGAGCCCCCCAGATGGGGGCAGGTTGGCTGGGAGAGTGCACCCCTGCCGGCTAGCTCCCGCGGTCACAAGGCCGCCTGGTCCCCTCCATCCTGCGGCCCCCATGCTCAGCTCCTGCAGATCCTGGATGCCCCCTCCTCTTCCTCATCCTGCAGGGGACGCCGTGGGCTTCCCCACCCCCGGGACGCACGTGGCCCCTCAGCTCATGGGCACGACCTTCACAGAGCTAGGAGCCTCTGGTGAACACAGGGTCAGGCCCAGCTACAAGTGAACCAGGGCTGCCAGGGAGACAGGGACCCCTTCTGGCCTGAAGAGGAGGAGGGTGGGCCCCAGGCAGGTGGGTGGCAGATGTGCCCTCCAGAGACTCGTGTCCTCCCGTCACCCTGGGAGCACCCTACGGTGCACACCTCAGCGCCAGGCCCGGCCCAGGCTGGGGAGGGGCCAAACCCACCTGGCAAAGCGGCAGCAAGCACTCAGGACACGACTGGGGTGGCTTTGGTTTACAGTCTGCAGGAGGCCCCGCTGGCAGCCGGCCTGGCATCCGCCCCACTGAGCATGCCTCCCACAGCCCCAGTGCTCCAAGGCTGGAAGGCAGCGCCACGGCGGCAGTGTCACTAGCTCATCTCACCAGTGCCTGCCGTGACCTGCAATTACTCCTCTGCCGACCTGTCTGCTGTTTACTTCCTGCCCCCCCAGCCCTGTTCTCCGCTGAACCCACGCCCTGGGCCTGGTGCAGTGCCAGCATGGAGAGCGGACTAGGGATGAATGAATGCCTGGCCCAGTGCCCCATTCCACTCACGACAGACCAAGCTACATACTTTCAACCCGAGTCCAGAAGAGATGGGGTGTGGGGAACTTGTGGGTGTACCCAGGGGCACATGGCAGGTAGAATGACGTCCCCCAGATATTCATCAGGCTGACTGGGAAAGAAGTGCAGCAAAGGTGATGGCCAGGGTCTCGGGATGGAGATGGCAGACTGAAGCCGGTGTCTTTACAGGAGAAGGAGAGACTTGGGCACAGAAAGCCCCGTGAGGAAGCGGGCAGAGGCTGGGGGGAGGCTGCCACAAGCCAAGGACAACAGGAACCCCTCCTCCCCAGCCCCCAGCCCAGGGAGCATGCCCCGGCCAGGGTGGGGAGGACATGACAGGACACTGCTGAGGTTTTAAGTTACCCTGTTGGTGGCCACTTGTTCCCTCGGCCCCTGAGAACAGATGCAGTCACACAGATACAGGGGGCTGCAAAGTGGGAGTCCAAGGCTCAGCAGGGCAAGGCCTGCAGGGACACAGCTGTTCCTGACACTGCACAGCACAGGGCTGCTGTGGGCGGAGACAGGCAGACAGGCAGGGACCCCACCATCTCCCCGCAGCGCGGGGAAGGCACAGAGGTGGGGTCCGGGTCCTACCGTCCAGGCTGCTGCAGGCCATGGTGCGTGGGTGGGGCCCCAGGCCCTCTGCATTTCTGTGCGGGGACCTCCTCACCAGGCCAGGCTGGGGCCTGAGCAGCAGCGCAGGTTAATGGCGCTCAGGGGCTGGAGATAAGGGGCCTCCCGGTGCCGGGGGGAGGGGCCTGCATGTCTGTCTGGCTCAGGTCCCCTCCCTGCAGGGCTTCCCTGGGCTGGGGAAGGCAGGGGCGGGGTCACGCAGGTGGGAGGGGGGATGCTGAGGGCCCCTGGTCCCCTTCTTTCTGGGGACCCCAAGAAGAGTCCAGTCCACGCTGGAGGGAGCTGACAAAGCTGCTCTTGGTGAAGACTGGGGAACAGGCTGAGGTGCTCCCAGGTGCCACCCCTACGGGCACACTCCTACACAGGTCCTCCAAGGAGTCAGCTGGAATTGCCTCACAGAGCGCTACTGCACGCTGGGCACCACGCTGAGGGCCACACTACGCGTTTCCACACTTAACCTGCACTAGGCCCGGCTGGCGAGCAGGCACAATTCTTCCCTCATTTTACAGATAAAGAATTAGAGGGCCAGAGACGTTAGCTGATTCACTCAAAACACAACAGGAAAGGGGCAGAGTCGGGATTTGAACTAAGCCTGCCCGGTTCTTTCCACTAAAGCACAGCAAGAAACAAGTGGGAGACGACCTCTATCTCCTCAGCACTTAGGAAAAAAACCAGACACTGGCCGATCTCAGCCCAGAGACTCCCTAACCAAGGTCCACTTCCCTCACTGCCCCGCCCCCTTTCGCTCAGTTTGGGACTTTGGAGGACAGAAGATAAGCAAGCCTGACCCTGTCCCGCCCCGCCCCGGCCCTGAGCTGCACTGGGGCCCAGCTGGCGCCTGGAGCCCACCAGGACGCTGGGAAGGAGTGGGTAAACAGGAGAGACACGTGTCCAAGTGGCGGCTGCGATGCCGCTGGCCCAGACCACAGCCGGTGGAGCATCTGGCGCCGTGGGGGTGGGGACAGCACCCGCAGACCCCGAGTAGCCCCCCTGTCCCTTTTGCTCGAGCTAAGCTTTGCCGAAAAGGCCCCTGAGCAGAGCACGGGGTAACCCCACGAAGTAAGCCGTCTCCCCGCGGGCTCCCGGGCCAGGGCTGGGGGAGGGGCTCACGTTCCTAGGTCCGGATCGCCCCAGGGACGGAGGCTCCTCTCAGGAACAACCGGCCCTTCCGCGCCCCCCACCCACGGAACCTCCACGCGGGCACAGGAAGTTCGCTCCCGCCGGGGCCCGGGGCGTGCCTGCTCATCTGAGAAATGGGAGACACTTCCTGCCGTACCTGCGGGCTCCCCGGGGCCCGTCGGGGTGGTGCGGGGTCCCCCTCACCGGGTGCTCGGTCCCAGCTCCGGGACGCGGGGCGCAGAACTGCCTCGGCCGCTCGGGGGGTCCCCGCGCCCCTCCCCGCCCCCAGGGCGCCCCTCACCTGTTCCAGGTGGCGTTGGCGCAGGCCCGGCGCTGCTGCGTGCCCCGCTCGTCCGCGGCGGAGGCGGCCGGCTCTCTCTTGCCCAAGTCACTGAGGCTGGGCGAACTCATGAACTTCAACCTGCGGAGAGTCCTCATGGTGACCCCGGCGGCCGGCCAGCGCCCACGCGCGCCTCGCAACGCGCCGCG